ACACACACACACACACCCTTCTTTTCTTCTTCAGCCTGCCCTTGCTGTCGGTACTAAAAAATGATCTCAAGCTGAGAAGTAAAAGAAAGAAATCTAGGGCATGCAAAACTGGAGCTCCTAAATAGCCCAGTTTTTAATTCCATCAATTTCAAAGCAATCAACACGCATGGGGTGTCTGTCTGTCAGAGGTGCTGCCCTAGGCACGGACAGGTGGGGAGGAAGACACGGAGGAAGAAGGCCACACCTACATGGACACCCTTTGGGAGGAAACCAAAGTGCCATGCGATTGGGATTGTAAACTGGGAACATACACTGTGCTATGGAAACACACATGCGGAAGCAGTTTATTCTGCCCCCAGGGTTCCCAGGAAGCTCTGCATCGAGTGACTGGGCTGACCCTGGCAACATAGAATAATAGGGTGGTGCTTGCAAGCCCTTTCTGATTGAGACTTACAGCACCAAGTCTACATTACATAGCTATCCTGAGCATGCAAAAACATGCCTATTTAGACAAGGTTTACAAAACCATACTTTATAAAACAATACTGTGCGAAGCACTCATATATTTTCTTCTGTTTCCATGATTTGATTTTATGTTTTTCTGGTTAATCCTCACTTGAGGATATTTTTCCATTGATTTTTTTTTTTTTTAAGAGAGAGACATCGTATGTGAGAGAGACACATCAATTGGTTGCCTTTCCTCACCGCATACCCTGACCACAGGGGTGAGAGATTGAGCCTGCAACCAAGGCACATGCTTGACTGGAACTGAACCCATGACCATTTAGCCTGAGGGCCAACACTCTATCCACTGAGCCAAACCAGCTAGGGCTGTTTCCATGATTTTAGATACTGGTTGAAACTGATTTATAAGTTTCAACAGAGAATGTTTCTCAGAGAACGTCACTTAATGTGGTCTTCTATTGTATACTTGTCTTGTTATTATTATTGTTGCTGTTATAACTTCCTTGATCAATTAATGGATTGGAAATTCACATTAGGAAATCCTGGAATAGAGCATGGGCTTTGGGGTGACACGAAACTGGTTTTAAATCCTGGTATGGAAAACCCGTAGTCCTGAGATTTGGGCAGTTGGTTTAACTTTTATTAATCTGAATTTCAATGTCTATAGGAAAAGTGTAAGTAGCTACTATCTACTTGACCAGGTGGTTGTAAGGGTTAAAGAAGGTAATATCTCTAAACAGCTTAATATAGTGAAAGCTCCATAGATGGGTCAGGTAAAGAGGTGGGGTGGGGGACATCTGGGCACACTGACTGGTTTGGTAGAATTGTCTTACCACCCAAAACAAGGTAAATCCTGATGACTGATATGCCTGAAAGTTTACATACAGAAGGAACAAGGTGGAACTGAAAAATAAAATAGCTTAGCAAGACTCTGTACCCAGGAAATTGTGGCTGTATTTGCATGTGAATTAGTGAGTGTATATGTACACACTTTGGTGTGTGAGTCTGTTAGTAGGTGTGTTTGTGTGTGTGCATGAGTGTGCTTCCATGAGTAAGTTGGGTAGATAGTGAGGAGAGGGGTGTAAGTACAGGGACTGAGTTTAATGGCCCTTTATTCAATAATCTCTTAAGCAATCACACTAAGCTTTTCTCAGCCCCCTGAGACCCTCTTCTTCACAACAGACCACAGCCTCTTGACACAGCTGCCTCCCCTTTCTGGATCTGTACTTCCTCACATATCCTCAAATATACTAGACTGGGTGAATAAGCTTTAAAAAATCTCTTGGAAAAGTGGTAGAACTCTTTTTCAAGCATAATCTTCAGAGGATACTGCTATTGAATCATGGTCATAGAGAGTGAAATAGGGATTAAGATATACAGTGATAGCTAACATTCACTCACACTTAGTATGTTCCCAGCTCTAGGCTGAATGCTCTGTGCTTTATACTCATGGAAAACTCACGGCATCACTATAATGTGTTACTATAATCATTATCCCCATTATACAGGCGACTTTCTCAAGGTCACAAAGTTACAGAGTGACAAGGCTATGATTCAAATTTAGATGCAAATATATCTGAATACATATCTCTCTGCTACCTCTTTGCAGAAACCCAGAACTTTGGGGGCTGGGTTTGGAAAATCCCTATCTCTGAGTCTGCATTTTTGCTCTAGAAAACAATGACTTTATCACTGACTGTATGAGGCCATACATGAACAACTAACCTCTACAATTCTTTCCCATATCCAAAGATATACATACACATATACACACACCCAGTAAATATACATATGTTCACATAAACAAATATTTATATATGTATTTTACAAATGAATATATATTTACATATCTGAAGACTCTGTAAAAGATTAAATATCACAACCATGTATATGAATAAACTATATGTATGATGACTATATATGATTTATAAATACGAGACATATGAGTATATATTATGTATATAAATTATATATGATGATGAAGTAAATGAACATTGCCGTAACACCCACATCAAATGCAGTGAATCCTTGACACAGCCAGGACACTAACCAATGCCATTTCTTCTGCACCTTAGGACCCCCTGCCTCTGTCTCAGCCAAACCTGGGATGTCATCTTCATACCTAATCAAACTTCCGTTTTGCAAGCAAAGGTGAATTATAAATCTCAGATAACAGAGCAACTCTCAAGCCCTACTTCTTGATACCCCTTGTCATTTCTGCGGTTCACTCTAATTCCAGGGCAGCATTCTGAGATACATTAGAGACCATTTCCTTTCACTGGAACCCATGCCTGACTACAGGGGAACACAGTTGTTCAATACAATGCATTTTTAGTACTGTGCCTTGAAAGAGGATTGGAGGAGGACGACGACATTAATGTCTTCCATGTGACTCTGAGAGCTAGTGGTTCATTTCCTCTCTGTACTTTAAGAAGATGTTGTGGTTAAAGAGTTCATTAGGCTCCCTGTCAAAAGCAACAAAACTGTGGCATCCATGGATTTTTTCTGACAAAAACACCTTCTACTCCAAGGCTCCCTCTTGGCCCAGTTTCTGGTCTCTGACTGGAGTCCATCCTCCATAAAGTCTCCTTACAAAGGGCAGGGGGTCCTGCTCCCAAATGCGCTGGATTCAGGGAGTCACAGATGGCATTTACGTTGATAAGCAGCCTGTGATTCTCCTATCGTGGTTGCAGTGAGTGGGGATGGAGACTGCAGCTAGGCAGCTGGCATGAAGAGCACCCATAGGAGAGGCAGGGTCAATAATTCATCAGGGTCCCCTTACATATCTTTCTTACACGAAATTAATAAAAAAAACCTGTCTTTTTCCACTTTATGAATTAGAAACGATTGAAAAAAATGTATTTGAACCTCCGAAATTGCTGTTTATGGCTGTGTCTTTCTCACAATATTGTTAGGAGGATAATATAAGCAAGTGTGTAAAGACTTGGCACATTAACAGGACTTCTATCCATTACTTTCTTCAGTCCTCTCCCTCCCCACCCATAGTGCTTTAGTTTCCAGGGACTCTCATTCAAAAATCGGATGTTCTACTTAACACTATTGGACAATAATAGCAGGTAACACTTGCTAAGCCCTTACCACACGCCAGGAATAAGTCTAAATACAGGCACTGGTTTATTCATTGCCTTATTTCCGCCTCCCAAACACCTAAGAGGTAACTACGTATTTGCAGAGAAAAATAAGATGTAACACGAATTGAATGCTTACTGTTCTTAAGTAGTACATCACTGTCCTCACTTACTTCATCCTCAAAACACTGTGCAACAAGTGCCATTATTATTCTCAGTTTTAAAGCAGAGTAAACTGAGTCACAGATGGCTTATGTAGTTCACCTGAAGTCACAGAGTAAGTGCTGGAATCCAGACCCACGCAATGGGGTCCCAGAGCTTTCCTTGACCCTCCTCAGATCAGGGTGCCTCTCAAGACCTAGTTACCTTGTTCGTAAAACTGGACTGAGAGCAATGGTAGCAATTAAACAATTGTTGTAATGATCAAAGAAGATAGCAAACTTGAAAACACTTCACAAATGATGACATGCCAAGCGTTAGATATTATTATTATGGGAAATATCACAGTAAAAGCATAAATCAATAAAGACAATTGTTGGGCACAGGATGCGTTAATTGCAAAGGGAAAGACAAGGCAAGCATTTGTCGAATGTCCACTTGCCTACTCTGAGCTATTTTTTAAACTCATGTTACCTCATTTTGATATTTTTATCCCCCATGTATTAAAAAACAAACAGAAGCTCAGAAAAAGTTCAGTAATGTGTCCATATGACTCATCTGGGAAATAGCACAGGCAGAATAAAAAGCCAAGTTTGACCAAGTCTGAGACCGACTGCCTTTCCATTTAACCAAGATGGTTTATGAGAACAAATTTCCCATGGAAATTAGTCATGTGATGTTCATTTTGCTTCTCTTCCTTAAAGTGCATTATGAATGAAATTATGGATTGGAGTGTTGCACTATTGAAAACACAATTTTTTCCCCAAAGAGTTCTTGTTGCCCTGAAAGCCAAATTTCCCAAGCAGGTTACCATCATACATATGTCTCTCATTTTTGGATTTAAGATTCAATCTCTCTGGATCATTGATTAAAATATTTCTGGACTCGTTTTACATACTTGAGTCTCAGATCTGCTGCTGGCAACTCACCTAAAGACAAATTTCCAGGGCAGGGAAATGAGCCCTACATTCAGTTAGATTTCAAGGTTGGACAGAGTCATACATAGGAAGTACCTTAAAAAGTCCTTTGTCCTAGAGCCAAACATTACCTTCAGAACAAAACGAACAAACGTGAGGTCTTGCTTTTACTATGTGATTACAAGCAAATAATGTAACTTCAAACCCTCCTTTTTCTCATCTGAAAATGGAGTTATTACATCTGCCCTATAGGATTAAATAAAGTGGCGGCTGTTACATAGTAGGTACCCAATAAATGTTAATCACCTTCCCACCAGTTCCCTTCTAGAAGAGAGTTTTGGATTAACGGAAGTGAAGGAAAACACCTTACCATTTTCTTGGGATCCAGGAGTGACAGGATGAAGATGAGGGCTAGAGAAACATCCACAGAGAACCGTTTTGGGTTTAAGGGAGCAGGGTATATGCATCAGGATCTTCATCCCTTTTCCAGTGACTAGGTGGGAACTGTCATGTGCTTGAGCTTGAAGTCATTCTAGGCAAGAACAAAACAAACAAAACATTCTTACTCATAAAAGTGACTTCTGATCTGAATCCCCACTTTCCTTCTTTCTCATTAGATAAGAGTCTTGGCCACCATTTATTGGCAAAGATGATGCAATTTAGAGCAATCAAGAGACAGTCTAACCAAATCAAACTTCGTCCAGATTCTTGAACAGCACAAACCCTCTCATGCCTCAGGGCTTTGGCACATGCCTTTTCCCTCTGCTGAGGAGTGGTCTGCTTTCCCCACACTGCTCATGTTCACTGGGTTAACTCATACTCAGCCTTCAGGCCTCATTTATTCAGAGAATTATTCTGTGACTCTACTCATCCCCTCTAAGGCTAGTTTGGGTCCTTGCTGCATGTTGACACCCATTTAACATTGTACTGTCTCAGCACTCAACACAATTCTAATTCACTATGTTTCTCTCCCAAGTATTTTGCAATCTCGGTGAGAACTTAGTCTGTCTCGCTCACTGCTGTATGGCAGTGCTCAGCACCATATGTAGCACATAACGGGCACTCAAAAGATGTTTATTACATGAGTTCATAACAGAGTGATTGAGTGTGTGAAATTAAATGAGTCACATCAGTGTGATGGAACAGGAAGAAAACTGCACCGTGAATCACAATGCCTGGGGACCGTTCTTCAGTTTTAACTAGCAAAGTGACCCTGAGGCCACTTTCATTTTTTTGCCTAAAGAAGCTCATACTATTATCTCAAGGGGTTGTGAGAATTAAATCAAGTGCCGGTGTATGGTGGATGCCTGACTAAAAGTGAGTTACTTCTCACTGCAAGAGAAATCACTGAAGGGGGCTGTGACATCACCAGGGGTCAAAAAACCAGCTGAGCAGCTGAAGGTCTTGGTCAAAACACGGTCTCCAGGTCTGCTAATCAGAAAGAAGTTGTTCAAGACTAACGTATCACAAGGAGCTGATTCACAAGGTGGTCATCTGCAGCCGGGACCTGCGTCCTCACTTTTCCCTTCTGCGCAGGGACCCTGGATCTGGATGGGGGCCTGGCTGCCCTCTCTTGGTGAGAATGGCCTCTTTCACCAGGAAGGCTCCAGCTCTGGCCCCAGCCACCCAAGTCATAGAGGTGATTCATTTTTCAGTTTCCAAGCTTCAAAGCAACATATATGAAGCGCCACAGGCTAGAGAGGTGCACACCCTCCTCTCTCCCCGGCAATCGCTTTGGTGTTACAAGGAACCCTCACCGGTATGGAGCTGCTCCTGACTTTTGTTGGAAATCTGAATGTTATGCAGACACGTGAGCACTTGACCCCGGCCCTGGACAGGAGATTTTGCACATGACCTGCAAATGGACTGTGTTGGGGTTGTTTTCCACAGAAATCCCTCAATAAAAGCTGCAGACACAAAACTGAAGAGTCAGGGCTGGAAGCATCTGGCAGTTTCTTGCTTGAGAGGCACCTCCCCTCGCTGTGGACTCCAACCATGATACATAAAGGGATTGAAGGCTAAACCCTCAGTAAATCATGCTTCTATGGGGAATGGGTAGGGCTTGGAGGATACCCCACCCACATGGACCCTGGCAGGCCCCTATGAAATGCTCTTTGGCAGCCCCAGCTCATGGGAAAGTGTGATTTCCTGCTTGCTATGGAAGCCTGGGAGTCTGTGCTTTTTTTTTTTTCTTTTCAGTTATTTCCTGCTCTGCTGTGGGATTTGGAGAGATCTAGAGCTTCTCTCTGCATTTCATGCAGCACCTTCAGTCTGTATGAACCTGTCATTGGGGAGGAGCGTGGACTAGGAGGTGAGACTGAAAACTGAGCTTTAACACTCAGCTTTCAACTTACCAGCAGTGTGGCCATGGACACATCTCTCAACCTTTCTGAGCCTCAATTGGCTCATTCTGTAAAAATGTCTCTGTTTTGGAGTTTAAATGAGGAATCATCTATGAAGTGCCTATACAGTGCCTGGCAACTGGAAACACTGCATCTCTCCATATTTTTACTGCTCTTCTTCTTAATGAATAATAGCATTACTTAGAAAATTTATTGGTTTTTTTTAAGATGTAAGATGATTCATCAAGGGCCACTATTCTCCCCACCCTCCTCAGAGAATATAAGAATATTCCCAATTCTATCCTATGTAATAAAAGCCTAATATGCAAATCAACCAAACAGCGAAATGACTAGCAGAATGACCGGTTGCTATGACGTGCACTGACCACCAGGGGGCAGACACTCGATGCAGGAGTTGCCCCCAGGCCAGCCAAGGTAGGTGCCAGTTGCCCTGCAGAGGGAGGTGACCAGCAGCAGCAGGGGGTGGGGCCGGCGAGTAGGAAGCGCCAGGCCGGCCAAGGCAGATGCCAGTTGGGGCCCCCCAATCGCCCCACTGGTTACCCTACAAATCGGCCCTGATCGCCAGCCAGGCCTAGGGACCCTACCCATGCACAAAGTTCATGCACCAGGCCTCTAGTTATTAAATATATGTCATATTTACAAATTATATATGTATTTTAAATGTTCCACTCCTATCTGTGATTCTCTCTTCTTCCTCAGGGAAAAACACCACCTTATTAGGTGCCCTGCCAACTTATGAGACCAGGAATGACAGAAGTGAAATCTTTCAAGATTTGGTTACTTGCATCTCATTTGTAAGACTTTGCCAGATGGCTCACAATAAAATCACATATTCAATGGGATCAATGAACATGAACAACAAGAGAACAGAAGTTGCATGGGTTTGAAATTGAGTCACCTGCTCAGGAAGCTGGAAAATCCCTGGTTAGTTGCCCAACCTGCAAAGTCCTCCAAGGAAAGGAGATTAGACTCAGAAGGGGAACAGATCAAGGGAGTAAGGAATGAGGTGTGAAGCTCCCTGATGGAGGAAAGAACATCTCACCCGGATATCCTAAAGTTTATTCTCCTGGATTTCCAGGAAGTAAGAGTATTCACCCCCATCCTCTGAGCCTGAGGATTGGCTCCATTCTCTGAGCCAATTATGTGTTATAATTGACATTACTATGTCAGTACAATTTCCCCAAATTTAAAAACAGTGAATTCAGTGCTCAATGAAAAGCTATCTTCTACCAAGTGTTCAATCCAGCTTACCTTTTCTAAGCTGCCCTGCTAATCTTTTATATGGAAATTTCTGGATCTCTCATAGTGATTATGATGTATTGACTGTTGCAGAAATGCTTTAAGACAGCATCCTTGAAGTACAGCAAGGTACCATAAGTTGATCAAAGGTAAAGAAAGATAAAAAGTCTAAAGGGGAACAGATTCTGAATGACCTTCACAGTTATTAGGAAGGTGACATAAATTATTTCAAGCATTCCAACAGTCACTGAGAAACAAAAGCAAAATGAGTAAAACAACAGAGATAGTCACACAATTTAATGTCCCTGGAAGAAACTAGTTGGCATATATATGCTCAAGGTACTTATCATGCCTTCTCCCCAGTCATATCAAACCATTGCAAAGTAGCTAGCATCTTCTGTAACCAGAGTAGGAATCAGAGGAACTGAAGTCTAGCCCCAGGTCCTATAGATGTGTTCTGTTTCCAAGTCTGTGTTCTCGGAGGATGTTGTTCTTCTCTGTGATGGAGAAACCTCAGTGGGCATACCACGTAGTCCTTTTTAGAACTCATTATTCTCTACTTTCCTTTGCAGAAATTCTAGGGAGAAGGTGTGAGGTTTCAAAGTGGTTATAGTAGAGGAGAGCAGCCAACATATCTCCCAAGTTAAGTGTGTGTGTGTGTGTGTATACACTCACTTCAGGGTGAAATTCAAAGACACACAGCTCTGGCCAAGAGCCAAGGCAAAGGTCCCTTAGGGCTGAACTTTTTGTAGGTTCTTGAACAAGTTTCTTAATTCTACCATCTCCACCAGCCACCTCCCTATGTTCTCTTAAAGGAAAACCTTTAAATCATAAATTTATAGGCTCAAATGAGGCCTTTCCTCCCAATACTATCTCCTATCAGTAGATTTAGGGAAGTCTGGGAAATCATAATTGATACCTGTGTACAGTCCTCCTAACTTTATAGCTCCCTAATACCCTAAGTCCTAAAATACAAGCTTTCTTTACACTTGTCAGAGACAGATTTGGTGTTTGTACAATAAATATCGGAGCTTCACTCTGTTTTCTGTTTTTGCGTATTTTTTTTATAACTTTCCAGTATTCTCACTGGGAGAACACTAAATCAATGGCCTGCTTCCAAGGCCTATTTTAGAAGAAGCAATCTAGTGTAAATTTATGATATGGTTGTTGTCGCTTTTAGTGTTCTAGCTGTTCACTATTCAACTCTTTTCTGAAAAACATTACATGTGGAGAATGACCCCTATATCACTGTGTACATTATGTGGCACAAAAAAATGGTTCTCATGGCCCATTTCCCTCTGTTTGCTCCCACAAGCAGTCCTCTAGTACAATCACGAAGCAAGTTATGACCTAAGTCAGTCAATAGCCGTCTTGCTCCCAAGGGCATGGGCCAGTTAAGGTCAAATCATTACAGCAGCAGTGTCAACAGCCCCATCCCTAGTAGTAGGACAGTGACATTGTCTGAGGCCATTGAGACGGAGATAGTATTGATGCTAGATACAGTGGCCTCACCTGAATGTTCCACCAATATGAGTGTGCTGTGTCTGGAGCTTCTCCAACTCCTATTACTTTACAAGCCTGGGTCTTGGCATTTCCCATTAGTTCTATGAAATACCCTCTCTCCTTCCAACCAATGTGTCTCCTGCTTAATTTGGCCGTAGTCTTTTCCCATTTTTTGTATCTAAACCCTCAAGGAGCAGAGGAACAAGCAATGACTGGATACTTACTTTCCTGTCAGGTTCTGTGTGAGATGCTTTAACCCTAGCTCTGACTGGCTTCCCAGGGAACCTATGAGACTAGAGTTATTATTTGCATTTTACAGATGCAAATAAAAGCTTAAGAGAAGCTTAAGACTGAAAAATTATCTTAAGAAGTTAAGCTTATAGTTTACTTTTTAAAAATTTTTATATAGTTTACTTCTACTGAGTAT